TCATACATGACTTTTAATGACTTTTTTTTTAAAAAAAATTGATACCAGCGTTTTAAACATGTAATGCCTCTCGAACTTAATATAAAACCTAATTAATTAATTAGGAGAGATTAAAAAAAGTATTTATATTAGTTATTTAGAGTAAATAGGTGTTGTCTTCCGTAGAATGTTCTTGCTAATCTTTGTATTAGCTAGAATTACCATATGATGAAATCTTAACATGTACAAATGTTACAGAGATTATTTTGAAAAAAATGATAAATATGAGAGATAAAATAAATTAGGATTTTATATTTGGTACTAAATTGAATATCAAACTAACTCTTATATTAATAATCGGAGGTAGTATTATCATTTTAATAAAGACAGAAACATTTATCTATTTAAGTTAACGTGAGTACTAAATTACATACTTCTGATTTTTAAACAAGTGCTGAATTATTGACTATATCAATAATTTCTATTGAAGATTTTGAGATACAAATTAAAAATTACATTCATTTTTATCATAAAAAAATAGAGGGAAAAAATGAAGATTAGGATGAGCTTTTTTAAAATAACGGCGAGATGAAAATGATCAATGTATAAGGAAAACTTAAAATAATTACTTCTGTGTTTTACAAGACAAAACTTATTTTTAAATATATTTATATCGTAAGTACAACGTAAACTAATTGTTTTCACAATTAATCCAAATGGACAGGAAGTATGATTCCATTAGATTCTATTAGCTTAATTTGAAAGCGCGTAGGAATATGAGGTTTGAAGATGGAGTCAAGCAAGTGGGGAAGGAAGAGGAAATTAGAAGAAATTAGGCGAATCTTGAACGTCGTGCCAAGAAAAAGAGAACATGACGATGATTATGATGATTTTCAGTCTTCAATTTCAGGCTCAATTCTTCTGAATTCTTAACAATCTTTGTTAATTTTCTTCTTCTTGTGATTAGGACACATGGACCTTCCTAGGTCTAACCTAAAACACCATGAAACACCAACTAATCATCCCTGGCTCCACTTCTTCAATAATAAAGTTCTCTTCTGAGCTGGTCAACCACCGGCCGTTGCACCAAATTTCCTCACAACTGTCCCATTCCATGTTTTTCTTCCATTTTAAAAAGCTAAAATTTATATGTTAACCTTATGACCTAAAAAATTACGTGTTTAAGAAACTAGATGCGGATGTCACAACTGTTTGAGATACTGTTAAACACTAAATATAGATAACTCTCTTAATAGAGATTAGAACTTTGGTTCCTAGGTGGTGAGAAGTGCACACGTTTTTCACATATAGAATAAGCATAAAACATGATCTCAGACAAGCTGGATCTTCTATAGTTTTCAGATGAGTTGTGCCTGAGAAAGTGGGCCACACGGTCCAATTCACAAATCACATTGTAGTTTCTGGGCCCGTAGCCCATGCTGTAGTGTCCCGGGCGGGCAAAATCTTGCATACCGCAGATGCTGGCTATTGCAATGAGAATGCAACGTGTTAAGTTGAATACCATATGAATTGGATATTGCAATAATTTGTGAGAAATTCTTACATCAGTTTGGTGTACAAAAGATGATAGACTAACCCGATTACCAAGAAGCAAACAAACATACTACACTTAGGTTCCAGTAGGAGGTGAACTTTAATTGGTTATTTTGGATGAGAATAGAAAAGACGTATGAAGCTCGTATCTGGGTAAGCTCATCAGTAAACTGGGGAATAAAAAGTTAAAAGCTATCACTAAAAGGCAAGGAAATAAAACTGATGGAAAAAGGTAGGCAACTCTCTCATTTGAGCAAGTGAAAACATCATTTCAGAAGGGTTCTGGTCAAATGTTCTCTGGCTGTGGCCCAAGCTTGAGTTAGTGTCTGCAAAGCCATAAATCCAATGTCACATCTCAGATTGAAGAAACTTGTCTTCTATCATCCTAACATTATAGGATCATAATGAAGTAATCTAGCAACTTCTGGTTTGTCAGGAAAATTTTATATCATTTTCATGTAAATTCAATAGACTAAGCTAACATGAAGCTAGTGTTTTTTTTACGTTTTCATTAAGTTCTCCAATAAAAATATAAAACATGGACATGAACATTGATTCATAAGTCAGTAATCATATAATTGACTATTTTAGAGCAATAATCTACGTGTCATAATTGAGTAGCTGACGAAGATTAAAGCTGAAAGTTTGTTGTGATACCTGATCAGACAAGGGGGCATCAGCATCCAAGCTATGGGAAGTCACTTTTTCAGCAATAAGTGATCCACTTGTTTCAAGTATCATCCTTGAATGAGAGGGGGGAAAACATCAGACTTTCATCAGAATTCAGATGAAACAGACAAGGACTTTAATTTATATGACAATGAAAGATTGAAGCCAAGAAACAAATGCATACCCTCCATCAACAATCTCATCAAGACATAAAAGAACAAGATCCAAGTTCTCGAGGGCCTCTCTTTTGTCAACGCTGTTCCTGAGGAAGTGACACAGAGAAATACAGAATGAAAAAGCATGAGCCACAATGGCAGCATGATCAAGACCATATAGCAAAATATGGCAAGTGCCAAAAAAAAAAAAAAACACCTTAATAGCAGGGCGATTGCGTCAGAGAAACCCTGAAGAACTGAAGCTAAGATGAGCTCATTTTCATCATCACTTCCAGTCACAAAGAAATGCAGATCTTGTACAAATTTGTAGATAATGATATTGCTCTCAAGTAAAGTTATCTCAGCTGCAGACATTGTAAATTATACATCAGTCATGGAAAACCATGACCAACAAAAAGAACTTGATTCTTTCGACCCTGACAATAGTAACAGATAACGAAGAATCATAACGCTCAGGTTGATCCTAAGTAAATGCCGATTACAAAAGGAAGGTTTTTGTCAAAGATCATTTCAGCACAAGAACTTATGCTGGCAAGCGAAGTTATATCAATTTCTGTAACAGCGTTGACCTTCAGGACTAGTTATAAAGTGTGCCTTCTGAAATGTGAAAGCCTCTTGTGTGACATACCTTCAGATCGAGCGTTTGTCTTTATAGTCTTATTAAACACATACTTCTCAAATGCTAACTTGGAGCTGTTGGTTGGCCAGTCATCTGCATAGTACTTGACAGCTACACGCTTTCCTTCCGAGTCTAGAATAAGAATGTTCTTGATGATTGGAGACGTTCCCTATAGATGAAAAAACACACCAATTCATGTAAAAGAGTGGAAAATAACAAGCATAAAGGCACCATCCAAGAAGGCTGCAACCAATGAATTTTTCATTAGATCCAAGAAGATATACAGAGCAACCTGAAATTATATGCCATTCCACGTGAATATTGGAGCCCTAGCTATACCATTTTAGTCCTTATTACAAACACTTTCGACTATTTCACCAGAACTGAAAAGAGTTGGTTTAGTCACTAAACTTGTTTAAAATGATGTTTTCCAAACTTACCTTTTATTTAAAACCATGAATTGTATCTTGAGAAGCAAAAAGGAAAATTGAATCAAACTTTAAATAGGAACAGTCTTGAAAAAATATAATTAATACCCCACTTAATGACTTATGATAAGAACCACTCGTTCCTTCTAGAAAGTGCCTTATAATAAGGATGAGAGTGTTCACTAGTAGATTTTACAGTGCATTGAAGAGAAGAATGAACCTCTTTGTCTATCACTAAATCTCTTATTACCCGTGCAGTGCCGTGCTTCCGGCTTGGACAAATTGATAAAGCCCCAAATACAACTTTATAAATGGGTGAAAGATTGGTTCGCTTAAAAAAACCAATGCTTTAAATCAAACAGTGATTAATACTTGTCGATCACGTGATGAATGTTTTTAAGCGATCTGAATTCTGAAATGACAAGAAACAAAACATCTCAAATTTAAACCCCATTCCCAGATTTCTTCATTCAACTTCTTAATCAAGTCAAGATCCAAGCGAGTAAAAGAAACCATAGCAGAATAAAAATTACGATGAATTCCTAACTTATACGAATAAAATGAATGTGCCTTTGTATTGAGGATCGATTCTAATATTAAAAACTTGAAATTTTCATTCCTTTGTTTAACTGAACTGGGCAGGAAATTACAGATGCATCTCAGCATCTGCCATCTTCAGCTATCGCATGGATTAATGCGCCGATCATGATGAGAAAGAAGGGGTGAGACGTATGAAAATGATCATAACTTGAATGGAGTTTTGTAGAGAGATAAATGTACACTTACATGGGGCGCCATTTTTGAGAGCAGAAGAGTTAACAGTTCCTATGGCAGGGAAATCCGTTAGGGTGATTGAATTCGGGGTCGTTACGTGGTAGTGAAGGAGGGCAATTCGGTAAATACAGAATTGTTGCTCTAAAATAGTAAATTGGCCTAGTTTTCACCTTGAAAATAGCCTAGAGGGTATCAATTTTAATTCAACCCAAGCTAATTTACGAAGTTTTTAAAAAATAAGGAAAAAAATAGAATAATAGATTTTGCTACAAAATGTATAGCATAATAAGCACACAAATAACAGCTATTATTATATTATCGTAATAAGAACACAAAATCTAGCCTATTATTATATTTTTGTCAAGTTTTATACGTTTTTATTAGAAAAAAAGGTTCACAAGCGCAATTTTGATGACATGAAAGTGAAGATAAAAAAAAAAAAGTGGTGACACGATAGAATTTGAGTTAAGAAAACTTAACTACATATTATAAATTATCTACGAAAACTGAATTTATGAGAGGATAAATTATACGTGCTCTTTGATTTTAGATGAAAGACCATGTAAGTTGTAAATTGTCATTCTGCAATTTAAGCGCAGGAATGAAATTATTTTGGTGAGAAACTTCCCCCCAACCCCCACAGAACCAAACCCCACATTTATAAACCAGCGGGGCCTAAGCCCAAAATCCAAAATTTGAAAGCAAGTTTAATTGGGCCTTTTTGGTCAATAGTGGGCTTAAATGGCCACAGCCTTGAGTTGTATGCTAAAAAAAAAATATTGAAGCCTCCCCTGGTGCTGTAGCAACTAGGGGGCAAGCATTCCAGTGCTTGATTGAGCTCGCCGTCGGACGCCGTCCACCGTTGTCAGCTCGTCGGCAAGCTTTGAAGACGGTTCGAACCCTAGGTCTTTGTCTTCTCCCAAAATCCGGTGAGATTGATTCGTTCAATCTGGCTTTTAATCTAGATTTGAATTTGTTCCCCGTGTCATCCGTTCCATGCGGAGTTTTCATCGGTTTGTCGGACGCCGTTGCAGCTTGGTCTTAGTCTTATTATTTTGACCTGGCCATGATGATGTTGTGTAATCGTTTGAATATTGACGCTTTTGAATATGGGAATGTTACTGGTTTTGCTATTATACTTCTGCCCTCTTCATTTTGATCACTAGCGACTTATGTGCTTTGGATTTTATTGTTGTGCATTGTTGGATTTCTCGTGCACTGGCATTCTGTTTTATTAATATCCTTATCTTATCATTAATATGGAATTCTCAAGGTATTCTGGTTTGACTTGGCTCGATATGTGCCTGCCAATTTGAAAAATCAAGTTCAAATCATATCCTGCTCGTTGGTCTGTGAATTTAGAAGCTTTTAACAGGAGCAATCAATTGCTCTCCTTACTCACTCTAGGCAGTGTTTTTCATTATCATAAATTGCAAGAGTTTGTCATTGTCATTCTGCAGTAGCTTGGGAGGAGTTGCCTGGGTCAGTTGGCTTACTAAGGCATATTCGTTAAAGTATAGTTGAAAAAAGAAATTGAAGGGCATGATATCAACAAATGCGCATTCCAAAGATTTTAGTGGGGGCAGATGCCTCTTGCCTATACTTGTGGGTCCAAAATTTAATCTTGCTGCAGTGATCCACATTTAAGGGTGATTTTCAATTAAAAACATCCTCAGATTTTGTTTATGATTAAATGCTTTTTACTTGGAAAAATCATTAGGAATATGCTATAAGGCTTTTTATCCCTTTGTTCCAAACCAAGTATGAGAAGAGAACATCAGTATGAGACTATTGTTAAATGTTGAGCACATCTATAGAAGAATGCATATAGTGTCTCTCTTATCGGGGAATATCAGGTGTTGATTCTCAGATTTTGCTCAAGAATTGATTGTGAATTCTGAGAACGTTTTACAAGTGTAGTGCATAACATTGATATAGAGGGGATATTTTGCCTGTTACTATATTGTGAGGACAGGGGATAGGCCTTAGATCAGTTTATCTTTATGTGGAAACGGCTATTGTGAAGTCTTGACATTCCACGGGTTCATTGTAATTTGCAAGTTCATTTCCTGATGTGGCACGTAGCTGACAGTTTTAATTTAGCACAAAACTGCCTGAGTTTTTCGTTTTAGCCAAGAAAACTGTCTGAGTTAATTAAGCGTTTTTTGTGAGATTTTTTGATAAAAATATAATATATGGATGCTTGTTTACAATTCCGCATTGACTGTTTAATGGAACTCCTTCCATATGTTACAATGGTGTCAAGAAACCTGATGGCGAAATACCTAAAGTTTATCTTTTAGTTTAACCCCCACTCTTTTGTGGAATCCATTTATAAGGAATGTTGGAATTGAGGTTGAAGGCCCCCTATACATCTTTTGAGAAAGTAGGACTTTGGATTCTGAGCAAGTAGTTATATAAAAGTTACTTTTAGCAGGTGAAATGAATTCAAAATTTGGTCCATTTATACATATTTGTATTAGTGTTCAACCAAATTTACCTATGCATAATTATTCCTTCTGAAAATTAAGTATATTAATAATGTTGCAGAGATAGGTCGAGTCATGGCAATGAACCATGCCCGGTTGGTAAGAGGCATCCTTGTTAGCAAGGAGGCTGTTGGAGTTGCGTCCCATCGAACGTTTGCTACTGGTAAGGCAAAGAAAGGATCTAAAGGGGGTGCTGCAACTGATGCACCAAAAGCGTCAACACTCAGCAAAGAAGTCAAGTCAACTACGGTAGTTGGTGCCAACATCCTCAAGGATGGAGCAGATCCGAAGATACTGCCTGATTCTGAATACCCTGATTGGTTGTGGCACCTGCTTGATAAACGCCCAGCATTAAGTGAATTGAGAAGGAAGAACATTGAAACACTCCCTTATGCAGATCTGAAACGCTTTGTCAAGCTGGACAACCGAGCTAGAATCAAAGAGAATAACTCTGTCAAGGCCAAGAACTGATCTTAAAGTAGGATAAACAGAAAACAGAGTAAGGATGTCATTTCTTTAAGTACTGTAAATCTGTCTTCAGGGATTTGTCATTTGATGAACTTTCATTTATAGAGATTGTAATGTATGGAAAACATAAAATGAACACATGCTTTAACGATGCCTTCATTTTATTTTCTATTCTGAATCTCACTTTACCTGGGATGCTTTATGAGATTACAATTTGGAAGCTTTGCTGATCGAAAAGATATGTTAAAAGCAGCTCAATTCTGAAATTAAATGTCCTTCGCTTCATGCTTGTGAATAAGGTCTGTATCTGACTGTTAATGTTCTGTCTCCCGGTTAGCAATTGATTATGAGTTGCTGGGGCAGTTCTCGGTTGTTAATGATGGCCGCCCCCAATTCAGTAGAAGAATTTGATTTATAAATCACATTTTTATGTAAAATCTGGTATCAGGCTTACTGGTATTGACTAGGTTTATATATTTTGAAAGTTTTTTACGTTTGCACCTGACTTTGAGTGTTTTCTTTTTCCTTTTTTTTTAACTGAAAATGTAATTCATTACAAAATCAACAAAACAATCAAGCCATCAGGCCAATTTTTCATCACCGTTCGCCTCTTCTAAAAACGGTAGAAGGTGATCAAAGACATATAAAAAAAAAATTTATCCAAATTATGAGAAAGCTTGGCTAAATGGTCAACAAAACTGAGACTTGTTACATAAATTATAGCACAATTTCAGACCCCCATCCGAAATTTTTTTTTGCCAAGATTAAATTTTCAAGTATTTCCTTCTTGCTAGAAAGGGCCACTAAATTATTACCCAAAAAGAAAAAGGAAGGGCCACTAAATTTTTCATTTAAAGGATAAGGGAAATTCTCGTAAAGATTAAAGAATGAAAATATAAACAGAGGCCATGCTCAGCCAAAAAAAAAGAGCATAACCGAATGTGGACTGCAAGAGCATTAAAGCTCATTAGAAACATAAAGAATTCAAAAAACTGGAAGCATTACAAGTGTGGTCAGCAATGCCTCTTAACAACTTGGACGCTTTTGTTTTGTTTAAGAATGTTTTGGTTGACGCTTACGCCTTGCGTTAAAAGAATGTTTTTGGGTTCATCCATTGGCTGCTCTCTCTTATCAATAAAGTTAAGCTCATTCCAGCTATAACTGATTGGTGTTCAAGTCAGGTGGGCAAAGATTCGAAAACCTTCAGCTCTTTCCCCAAGAAACGAAACTTTCTCCTTGATCAAAGAGTACTAACTGAACCTAAAGAACGATATACTCATTTGGTCCTATTTATAAAGCACTTCTAACATGTTTCACACAGACCAAAAAAAATCTTAAACTGTATTAACTCTCCATTAAAATATAGCAACTTTCCAATTTTACCCCTATTTAATATATACTCCTTTCAAAAAAGATAACTACTTACACTATAATAAATGAAGGACAAAATAGTACATTCATATTGAAAAATTAATGAAGTAACTTATAAATAGGACCAAAAAAAAACCTTCTCTCTCTGCCCTATAAATAGGACCAGAGGAGTAGGCCAGAGCTTATCAATGTAACTTCGTAGTTTGCAATATAGATGGTGATGTAATATATATGTTTGCCTTACACTTTTTAATCGTATAAATTTTTAAGGATTAGCTGGTTTTACTCATATATTAAATCGACACACCCACATATATAATATATAATGGGGACAACCAATTTAAAATATTAATTGATAACAAGAATTTCTCCAAGTTCTTAACCTCTACGTCCTACTTGTTAATTACAGTCACCAACCGTTAGGTATAACTCTTATGGGTAACGTGAAAAGATTATCTTTCTGTTTTTTTCCTGATGTCTGGTCAGTTCTGTTAAAAGTTCTGATTTGGCTAATGAAGCTTGGAAGTACAATGACATATATCAGAAGTCTTTTCCTTTTTACATTCAGACTCATCCAGAGAAAGAAGGTGTGAGAGAGACAATAATGCAAAATGAATAAACCTTTTTAAGTATCGTGGATCAAGATTTCTTCCTCGTTTCTCTTTCAACTCCTTTTCAGACCTGACATATCCATAGATATCAATGCATGCCTTATTAGCTAGTATTTGTTAATGCATATCATTTGCATTTAATTAGCTCTATCTCAAAAATGTTAGTGTTTGAACGACATGCGCATTATTAAGTGGAAACTGGCAAGTCTAAAGTCTAAAACTGGTTAGCAGATAGGCACTGATATTGTAGCAGCAGCCACAATGATGAGTTTCTTAAATTACTTTGGATTACTCTTGAACTCAAGGTTTGTACAAAGGGACAATAAAAATGAGGCCCAAAGAAGAGTAGTAGTGTGTATGAACAAAATGTTCAGGGGCTGTAGGTAGAAGGGCCACACTTGCATTTCCAGCTCTCTGGCTCATAATTTGCGTATTGGATTCCCACATGGTTGTGTTGCCTACTGGTGCTGGGCACTTGAATGGCTTCGCATGGCGTACATCCATTACACTTATGCTCACAAATTGGTGGGGTTGACCCTATTTTGCTAACTCGTGTAATATATTTTTCTCTCACAGTCTCTGATATCAAATCCTGTACCAGAGGGAAAAACAGATATAACATTCAGTAGAAGTTAGAAGAACCAGTCTGAGATTGCTGCTTCAAGAAATTCTATGCTCTTAAAAATTTCTTGCTCTTGACAGACACATTGCAGAAAAGAACTATACCTGTTTTGGTTCTCGAGTATATGGAGAAGATTGTGGAGCCAGTTCTGGACCTGTTAAAAGCAAGGAGATACTAGTGGTTATGAACAAATCCACGAGTGTAACAGAAAGATGAGTAATAGTGAATCTTGAAAAGATCGTTTAAGTGACTAACCTGGAGGTATTGTTCTTGCTGTAGAAACCCAACTCACTAGTTGCAGAGCTAGCATGAAACAACAAAATCTTCCCTTCATGTTTGTTCGATGTGATTCTTTTCAAATGGGGCAATGATGAAAGTGATGATGAAGAAGAAGATATATGATAATGACAGTGATGGTGGTATTATGGTAACTCACAATGAGAGGCCAGGGATGACACTTACAGTTACATTATTGGGTTGAATTTATAAGAAGGGGGGAGAGAGAAAGGAAGGCGAGCAGCAGATGAGCTTACGATTCCCAAAGACTGAAGGTCTTGATTGCGTTACTCTTATTACAATCTTTGGATTGGCGAGGAGAGATTTTTACTGCACAAGCAAGTGAATCTTTCTGGTTTCTTGCGGCACTGTTAAAAAGCTCATCAGTAAGTTTCATTATGATCATTTTGACAGCTAGCCACCAAGAAGGAAAAAAAGGGACTCATTGGAGTAGCTCTTTCTCTCTCTTCCTGCTTTCTCCTGACATTCGCTTGCTTGGCTTTCAATACAAGCCACACAAGTCAGTCTCTCTATTTCAATCTTTTATTAACTCAAAATCTAAAAAGCAACCAGGAAAGAAAAAAAAAAAAAACCAAGTACGACAATTTGATGGTCTGCAGACTGCAGAATAACAGCAATCTTTTTGGGTCTGAAACACCTGCCACACACTTTATTGGTGAGGTTCTTATATGGTACTAACTAAGTAATTAAACTCTAATTACTAGTAACATTTCTTGTTGTGTTTCAGTTTCTCCTTGTTCAGTAACATTAGTTGAGATTAGGCCTTCGAGTGGTTCATTATTATCATCATCATTTCATCATCATCTTCAGTACGAAGATTGATGAGAAGCTGTTTGTCGTTTAGACTGTTAAAATAGGAGCAATTACTACATGTTAACAATGAGTGGTTGATTATTGATACTCTTTTTATCTTATCACTCATTTTGCTACGCCAATGTTCTAAATTCATATTTTTTTTTAAAAAAAAGTGTACTTTTATGCAAATCTTTTCATAATGTTGATGTCCGCGCGCGCACACAAACATCCGAAGTTTACATATAAAAACTATTGATTAAGATTTAGCATTGATCGGATCTGAGATACCTAGAGTGCATAGCCTTGATTGGTTATTGTTGTTGTTGTGGACTTGTGGTGGTGGAAGGAAAAGGATAATAAATGGGGTTGAATGACAAATGAATGAATAAGGAAAAGTAGAGTTGGTGTTGTGGAGAGTGAAACACTGTTTGGGTAAAAGGGAATAAATTTGAAAGCAGTTAGTTAGCATTTCTTAAATGACCTTTGCTCGTTTGGTACCAACCAAAGCTCTCCTTCCCCTTCCATTTATTACCACATCTCTTTCATTTTGATTCCCTTGTCAACTATTACGAGATGCTTCTTTTCGAGGAATAAGTAATACTAACATTACAAACCGTTCCTTAAAATTATCGGAATTATTATTTATTTATGGGTCTCAAGGCCTATACTGGCGTGGGAGATAGGGATCAAACAACGTATGCCTGGGCTGGTGTTAGGAAACCTTAGAAGTTAGTTAGAACTTAGAACAGAAAAAAAGTTAGATGGATGCCAAAAAAAAAAAATATTAGCTTCAGTTTTTAATATAAAAGTTAGTTAAGTAATTTGAATAGATTGAGAAAATTAGTTAAATTAGTTATTTGTAATAAATATATGTTGTTTTTTCTAAAATATTCCTACTAATTAAGTTTATTAATTAGAACTACTATAAAGACTACTTTAGAAGAAAAAAATAGATAAATATGAGACACAAAATGAATTAAGATCTTATATTAAAAACCAAAATAAAAGTAAAACAAGTTTTATATTAAGGATCGGAGGTGGTATTTAACATAACATTGAGGGCGATTGATTTTTTTCCTTCAAAAGTTAGTTGCTAAAACAATTTTTTTCCCTTTTCTTCCTGCTTTTTCTTTTATGTATCTGAACTTTTTAAAATTATTTTTTTAAAACGATGAGTTGAAAAACAAAATCAAAAGATCATATGGTCCTTCATCAACATCCACCTCCTCATTAAGAGGTGGGGGTGATCAAGGATCACCTATACCATGAGAAATTTTAGCAAAGCAATCAATTAGAATCAAAGCTTCCCTATGAGCATGTACAAAAGTAACTTACCAATCTTTGCGGATTAGCAATCTAATCTCATCTACTAGGTCTCGAGAAGAATGATTGCTATCACACCCTCTAATAGTAATGGTGATAGTTCCAATACACTCAGAGCAAGAGCAAATGTTCTTTATACCCCTAAATCAACACAAATGAAATTTACTTTTTAATATATCATATGAATAAGTTTCATTTTATGAAAGTCTATCCACATACAAATCACATAAACAACTTGACACCAACTAATTTTTACAGATTGCAAAAGTCAATTGAGATGACTCAAATACGCCCCCAGTCTATTATCCGAAAGGGTTGGCAAGTTCAAATTCCAAGTTTCAATTTTGGGATAATCTGAAGTGACCAAATTGCAGGGGGAAAAGATGTCATAAGTCATAACTACGACACAAAAAAAAAAAAAAAATTTCATGGAGGAAGGCTGCGTTTGGATAGCAGGCTTTAGTCTGACGCTCCATTTGTTACATCCTAAATGTAGCCTACCATCCGCTTTTTTCTCTAATCCTTCGCACTTTTCAAAAATAACACATTCTTTATTCTTTTAATACACAATTCAAGGAACGAATCCCTGTCTCAGATAAAAGCTGCTGGTGGCTTTAATTTTTTATCATGAAATTTCAAAGTTATATAGCCGGGGATTTTTCTAAATTAGCTTATAGCTTTGTATACTTTAACAAATAATAATAATTTTTATTTATAAATTAAAATGAAAACTTTATATTTTGTTCAAAACTAATTGCAAAAACGTTACATCGTCCAAAAATGAGTTTCTATCAAAATTGTCGATCAAAAAAAGACGCCTAGTTTTCATTTTTCCTTTTTAAATCGCACAATTTATAAACTCATTTTGAAATAAAAAGACTAAACAGTAAACACCCCCTTTAATATAAATTTAACTTCCTGATTGAAAATATGGCAGGGCAGAGCACGAGGGGAGCTGGTTGACTTGACTACAATATCAGACGCCAGCTATTACCGTGAGGGTGACTGCTAAACTTTATTGGAGGCTTTTAAAGAGCCTGGATTCTCGTAATGTAATTGCAGATTAATCCAAATCATGAGCTGCTGACTCTGACATAAATTAAGCCAACATGACATGTACTTTTGGTTATGAGCATGCCACTAAATATTGTTTTAAGTTAGCTGGATAGATATTGTAACAATGTATTGTCTGGGAATTACTCGGAGGAATCTAGTTATCATCTGGGATTCACTGCAAGCGAAATGATATTTCAATGTGACATTTAAACATGTCGAATAGAAAGTGATAGGTAGCAGTTTTTTCCAATGTCAAGCACAGTGCTCCTCGAAGGCCAATTTCAAGTTCATATTAGAGGTGTTAGAAGAATATGGAAGTAAAAATACATCCATTCTGACTCCTTTAAGTGTTAATCACAACATTGTTAAGAAAGGCATTCCATGATGCACTTAGCAGATTCTAATCCAAATTCAGATCAACACACATAGAGATTTTTTTTTTTAAAAAAAAAGGTGATTGCAGGCTTGAGTTCCAGACTCTATTTGGGGAAGAGATCTGATTCTGATTCTGATTCTGCCTTTATTTTAAAATGTCTATGACGGCTGATACTGATAGTGAGTGATTAATAATGTCATGAACACTGAAATCTCTAATCAACGCGTCCGAGTTGGATTTAGAAAAAAACGTAGGAACCAGAAGAAACTGGAAAAGAGTTATATACGAAAGAGACAAGATCCCAAGAAGTCATATTTTGCATTTAAGCAGGCATAATGAAGGCATATTAAACATTTCATATCTTGATTCCATCGAAAGCTCTACCTCTCAAAAGATTGAGATTGAGCCTTTTCACCTGCTGATGCTTGTTCACATTCCAACCTCTTGAGAGAGAGGGGATTTATCAATAGGATTACTCTAAGAAATTGTCCAAGCTTATGATCACATATAATTCTCCAACAGTCACTTTCCAGCATTCAAATAGGAACAAAATAGAAGGAAAAAAAAGTTTACAGAATCATTTCCTCTGCATATCTAAATTGGAACACCAAAAATATTGCAGTAGGAAAAAGGTTTTGAAGTTTAACATGATCATGACAAATCTTCATAAACTGGGTTACAACTTACAACATGAAGGTAAAATCCACCCCTACTTTGATGAATCATGACTGTCAGAATCTTTCTTATGATGAATTGCCTCAACTACAGCCTCAATCTCTTCCTTGACTCGTTCAAACACACCAGGTGCTTTTACCTCATCAACATCAGTTTTCTCATCAATGTCATCACTCCTCCCGTGAGTTTCTTTGTGATGGTGAGGTGTTTTATCATGGTGAAATACAGCCTCCACCTCCTCCTTCACTCGCTCAAGAATGTTTGGGGCTTTCACTTCTTTTTCTTCCACAGTGCAGAATTAAAACTCAGGAATCCATTCATACATAATTCTAATGTCACATATATACATACTCAAATGCAGCTTGAGTGAATAATCACATCATGTTCTAACAATCCAAAAGAATGAAGATACGTCACAAAGTGGGTAACCAACACGGGGCAATCTTAAAAGAGCAAATCCCAATAGTAATTAATTAAATTATGATGGCCGATTGCGATAATACTCAATGGATTGTTCTTCCTCTTGAGGACAAAGGACATATTGTACCTTATCAGTTTGAATCGAAATTTCTAATCGTCCACGAATATGATGAAAATTTTCCAGAAAATTCACGACGAAGATGGGTGGTAGATCAAAATAGGAATACTTAATCCAAAATAACAACAAATAAGGTGTACTACACACACAAGATACCTGTAAACATATAAAGATGGCGCTTCCATGATGATACCTGAAAGCGAGTCTTCTTTAGGCTTCTTCGGATCCATATCTGCCATTGAAAATGTGTGACGAACTCGACAGCGGAATAGCAATGTGCAAGTTTTTCTGTTTTATTTTAATATTTCCCAGATTTATGCACGAGAGAAATGGGCGTTCAGGGCCCAAAAATTTTTGCGCCTTTTCGTCGACTCAATGTGTTATTTCAATCCAACCTGTCAATTTTATTTGTACCAAAAACGCAGTGCTTTTTATCAAAAAAGCCCAACTATCCATGTATGTAGGCCCAGATCCAATTTGTCATAGTTTGACCCCAAATGCCTCTTCCTTATTATAACACTTAATTAGCTAATTTAAGTAGATTAAAAATATTATTTAAATTAGTTAATATGATATATTTTTTTCTAAAATATCTTAAGTATTTTCCTTAATTCTTTCCCTCCCTCTCCTATTTAATTATTATTGGGTGAATATCAATAGGGTTAATTTGGGAAAAAAAATAATAAACATGTGAAATAAGTATTATATATAAGATCAATATTAACTCCTTAATTAGGTCCTGATTGGAGGAGTAATATATTGATTTCTCATAAGATTTGGGCAGGCACGCCCTTTTTCTTTTTGTTTATAAAATGACGCTTGATCGATATTTTTCTATTCTTCAAAGATAATAGAACCTATGAGAGTCAAATATAAATATGCGTGCACGCACACACACATATATATGGGGAAATAGCAAATAAAAACTCCCCTAATATGTGAAATTGTGATTTGAGACTCTAAATTAGGAAAATAACAAATAAATATCTGGTCTCACATTGTAAATATAAAATCTTGATGAAATGTCTAAAATACCTTTCAACCAAATGATAAGTTTACTTTAGCGAATGATAATTTCAGTAGACCAAATTACAACTTAGTCGGGGGGCATTTCAGACATTTCACCAAGATTTTATATTTGCAATATGGGATCAGGTCTTTATTTGTTATTTTCCAAATTTAGAGTCGCAAATCACAATTTCACATATTGGGGGTCTTTATTTGTTATTTTTCCTATATATATTAAATACAATATAATCCCTTTTTTTTTTATAGAAAAATCAATGTAATTCACTCCAATTCAATGAAAAAAAATACTTTGCAATTGCCTATACTCTCCATCTATTTTTCACTTAATACCCATGCATGTTTGTTAATTACATTCTTTAAATTTGCTCTATTTCCATTAATTTCTACAGGGCTAACGGTGTGGTGGGACAGACTTAAAAGATTTAATCAAGATATAAAAACATGCACACACCAAAGTAAAAATCGAAAATAGAATATATTATTCGAAAAATGATTTTTCTCATAAAATAGCCCTCCAAACAAAAATGAAAAAGAATAAATAAAATGAAGACATAGAGCCCTCCGGCAAAAATGATTACATATAAGTGTGAATTTAAATACAAGTATGAAAAAGAGAAAGGAAAATCAGGTCAAAAAAAAAGAAAAGAGCGAGAGAAAGCAAAATACAAGATATATAAGGAATTTGGATGGGATGGATCCTGTACGTGCTAGTACAGCACTTGGAACACATGGAAGGCAGCGGGATTGGGGAAATAGCTGCGTCAAGGCGCCAGCAAGACAGAAGTAGTTGGAGCTGATTCACGATGACGGACGGATGGTCGGTGGTTTCGCCGCTCTCCCTTTCATCTCTCCCTTCCATTAAAGTATATTCCTCAGCCGAAACTGCCCCTTCCCTAATTCCTAGTTCCTACGCATAGTGTATGTCAACTTAGTAAATTCTAACCTGCTCAGGAAATTCCATTACCTTCATACACAAGGAATAATAAATTTCATATGGTACTAATGAATTGACTTATAAATCAGATAAAAAAAAATTCATTCTCTTTTTATTCTATAAATAGGACCAAAAAATTATATTGCATTTTAATTTAAAACCTCAGAAATTAGGCTTACGAGTCTTCCCACATTTATTCATTAAATCTACTAAATTCAATTATATTCTAGGGCAATGTAGCGCCTAAAATGCCAATATTATTTTTTAGGTGTATCGAACGCCCTAATCTTATTAATGGTGAATTTTATCCATACTTTTAAAATGTGGTGCAATCTCACTTTTTTTTTTTTTAAAAATCACATTATTTTCTTTTACTCATCTTAACAATTAAAATTGATAATTTTGGTTACTTTGATCATATTAGTGACAACTTTTATACAAAATAGTAAAATTACAATCATTTAAAAAAAACTAAGAAATGGATGAGATTGCATCAAATTTAATAGATAATTAGCTAAAAAGATTATGATATTAGATACACCTGAAATATACTTTTACGGTAAATTCTATGTGAAACTTCTCCGCACATTCACACGCTTGACCTCTATATATGAAATTATAATTAAAGCATAAGTGGTTGTCCATGCGTGTGTTAATAAGTCAGGAATTCTGGGGACATGACCTTTGAAGCAGAGTCGCACATTAAAGTCACCGTACCCTAACCGCGTTGGAGAATTTCAAAATAGACAGTTAAACTACCTCCAGCTAGGGGCAGCCATGGGTATCTGTGTATGTGCGTGTGTGTTCCAACTGCCGGCTTTCAATTTGAGGGATCTAGAATCCTGAATCCCATGTGTTCATCGGGCGCGTACGATAACGATGCCTTCCTGCTTGCCTGTGTCTTTGGTCATCATATCACCCCTTCTTCCCCTCCTTCTAAATTTTCACTTCCATCTTTTTCTTTTTTTCATTAAAAAATTAATTTTTTTAATCCTTATAATTTTCACTTGATTAAAACTCAATCTTTAAATTTTGCTTAAATACAATTTAGTTTCTATAATTTTTATTCAATTGATTCAAGTGCATTCATATTGTTCTGACCATTTAAAACTTCATATCTAGTTTTAATATAAAAGTTAATTAGGAGGTTGGATTCAGTGTGAAACATAGACCTCAGTTCACTTTATTTAGAAAAAAACAACATATATTTATTATAAATAATAAAATTAACTTATTTTTTTAATATATGCAAATGAGTTATGTAGCTGTTAAAGACTAGAGATAGTATAATTTTATTTTTTAAAATATAAGGATTGAGTTGTATGGACTATTGAGTTAAAATTCAGTGAGTGAGTTACATGTAAATCAAAGTTATAAATAATAAGTTGCACTGAAGACGTATGATCCTTACGATATGATTTTTCTCATTCATAAATATTTGAACAATTGATATTTGCTTAAAAGGAATTGAATACTTCACTCAATCCAACTGCTATAGATATTTGGTTATATTCGACGTTTGTTGTAGGTAAGAGCATTGTTTCCTCCAAAACAAAAATATTTTTGGTTAAATTTTATGTATATATTACGTGTTTCCCCCTTCTTTGATATAAAAAAATATTACATTGCTTTTCTTGTTTATAATTCCCTTTCATACCTATTATAAGAATTTCTAACATGTTTCTTAAACAAATCTGGTCTAAAATAACAGTTTTTTTTGGTTTAATATCCTTAATAAGCTATAAAATTTTATAACTAATAAAATATTTTTTCCCTAATTAATAACTTTCATTCGAAGTAATTTTAACAATTTGTGAGAAATAATTGATTTCAACTATTTTTAATTTATAAGAATTCATTATTAATAGATGCCTGTAAATAGAATCAGACGGGCATTATGCTAGCCTTTTATTAGGTCTACCTAGTTATTTATTTGTCATTTTCGTTATCAGTATTCAGTATATAACGCTTTCAGATTGTCTCTATTTAATATTTATAATTACGGACTATATTTGTCTGAAGACATCATATTTGAAGCAAGTACTGTGAGTAGATATTATGGTTTGATGATAACGACATTGATTTATTGAAACTTGAAAATGAGTTATATGCATATTGCATCCCATAACGTGATCAAGCATGTCCACGCATGTGTTTCTTGGTTGGGCGTTCAAATATTTGCTTTGACATTAAATATCTTCAAATATTTATTGTTATAACTAAATTCTCAATCAAATTTAATAGTCAATTTTTTTCCATATTTTATTATTTACTTGAATGTAATAATGGATCATAATTATAATTATGACCAAATGAATAAATCTGCCCATAAAGTATATATCTTAAGCTTTAAATTCACAGGTAGCATGTCCCAATTGGATGTGTATGCTATAAGTTATGAATTTTTGAAGTTCAAGCAGAAAATTTGTTTTAATTTAATGAACATAAGCAGACCTAAGTTTTCTGCCTTTGATATCTTATAATAATCCAAGGGAAAATGTAGAAAAGGAGCTTAAAAATTATTAAAACTTAAATAAGAAATTCCTATAAAAATATGTTGTTATTTATAAATTAGACGTAGTTAAAACTTATTAAAGTATTAAAAAAACATGATTTAGGATTTAATAATTTTGAGGTTCTTTTTCTGTCACCCTCTCATAAACAAAACTCTTTGTAAATATTTTTTATGGTTTAATTATATTTTTAATGCCCCTGGTAAAACTCTCTGGTTAATAGTAAGCATTTCTCACTAGGCCATGTCTTTCCAATATGATCATCAACTGTTTTGTTATTCTTCTATTAATGATTTTTGAGGTCGTCTTAGAGGTTTATTCAAGGTATTATTGAATATGAAATATAAATATTTTTTTTAATAGACCTAACTCTTTTATTAGACTCAACTTATGATACAATATAAATCTTTTTAGATGTGTGTTATATAAAATAAAAAAAATTGTGTATATGTACAAACTAGTTGTTAAGAGAGTTACATCTATTTAAAATACCCTATGATATTAGATACTCTTTCGTTCCTTAATATAGGAGTTAATATTGGTCTCATATATAAGATCTGTTTCGTATGTTTATCAATTTTTTTTTCCAAATTAGTCCTATTGATATCCTTCAATAATAATCAAATAGGAGAAAGAGAGAAGAAATTAAGAAAGATGCTCATGATGTTGTAGAAAAATATATCATATTAACTAATTTAACTAATATCTTTAATATACTCAAATTAACTAATTAGGTCTTACTACCTCCGGTCCTTAATATAAGACCCCGTTGACTTTTAGTTTGGTCCTAATTATAAGACCCCGATC